AACAAAAGCACTATTTCCATTTTATCCGGTAAACCCGAGTTTATTAAAGGGGAAAATTGATTGTGAAATTTCGAAAGCGAGGAAATTATATTTATTTTATTTGTAAGGGCTAATTATAATTTGAGCCTCTAAACCCTCAAGCGCCGATAATTTCAAATTGGTTCCATGAAATATTCTGGATTTTTTTAGCTTTAAAAGGTCTCTTTCTCCAATAAAAAAAAAAAAGTTACCCATTTAATTTTAGCCTGGCAATCTGCTCTTAAGCACAACGTTGAGTGGAAACGCAAAAACGTACAAAATCCTGAAATAGTTTTTGTCCTTCTGCCCCCACGGAGGCACATAAATATCAAATTCAAATCCAACTTTAAGGCACGCTTTTCTTGATTATTTCCCCGGAGAGTCTAAAAGATGTTCTATTATTGCCAAAATTTCAACTTGGATTATTATATTGATGATGATTTTTTTTTCAAGAGCTGGTAATTGATTATATTCCAGATTGGTTTCCTGGATGGCCTCAGCATCAGCATTACAATAAACAGCCCAACGACGACGGCCTCAGCGAACAAGATTGCGTCGAAGTTCGCAGAACTTACACGCTGCCATCAGCTTCGGTCAGCTTGGCACCAGGATTCATGTGGAACGACCGGGATTGTTCCACAAATAATTATTTCATTTGCGAAAAACTCCAGAATGACGGTAAGTCAAATGCAATAATACTTCCTGAATATTGGACATTTTTCCATAGAAACTATCGACGAAAATCCTGAATGCAATCGCACCCTGAAACTGGCAAGACAAACTCCTAGAACTACGATATCTAGTCCTGGATTTCCTCGGCATTATCCAGACAATGCCGATTGCGATACTAACATTATCGCCCCATCTGGATACAGGATAGTGTTGGACTTTGACGAATTGGTAATCGAAAACGAACCCAGGCAAGTTATTCAATATAATTATGAAATATTTTAGCTTCTAATAATTTTTTCCTAATTAGTTGCAGCTACGATTACTTAGAAATAATCGAACACGTTGGCAACGGTTCATCGGTTTCGAACAACTCCAGACGTCTTTGCGGCGACTGGAGCACGAAGCTGAAGCTGTTACGCTACGTCAGTCAAGGCTCGAAGCTCACTTTGCGTTTCAGCTCCGATTACAGCCATCATTTCGGCGGTTTCAAGGCTCGCGTCTCGATGGAAAACGGTAAGAGAATAATCGTATTAATTAACGAGAGAAGCTGATGGATGGTAATTTGGGTGAATATTTTAACGAAGTTTGCACGAGAATTGTACCATAACTTAGAAAATAGAAAAATTCATAATAATACAAGAACTCTTAAGAGTTAGGAGACTTCCATCATTGTTGATTATAAAAATCACAGAGGAGTCCATAAATAGGATTTTGAAGACACTAGGTAGACAAAGATGACTCAGAAAAGTCAGAAATCATGACAGAACTAAAGACAAAGTATGAAAATGATCTAAGAACTCATTGCACAAGAATTACCATGAGATTGCAAAGATTTATGACAAATGAATAAAAATGTTTAAAAGACTCATTACATTGGATTAATCATAAGAAAGACTCTGAGGGATCGAGCTAGGGAAACATCCGAAGATCTAGACATAACAAACCAATGAGTCAAATGCTCATTACATGAGAAATAATAGAGGGATAACTCAGAAGAGTCAAGACATAATAGTAAATAGTTATGCATACTCTATAGATTACTATGAAGAGTTAAAATTAGATTCTGGAGACTTTTGAAATCTATGAAGAGTTAATGTACAAGAATACTTTGAAGATGAAGACTCCATCACTCTTGAATCTTAACAGGTATTACTCTGGAGTGTTCAAATACAAGATTCTACGAGTAGTTATCATATTTGAAGACAAGAAAATGTTTCAAAACTCGGTACCTCAAGGACGTATATAAGGGGGGGTTTTGGGGGTTCGAACCCCCCCTATTGAACTAATGAATAAATTATTTTTATTGAAGAAAAGTAAACGTTTTTGGGCGAGGCACCCGGAAAAAAAATCGCCTTTGACGATATCCTGATGGGCTTCAGAGCTTTGCGGTACTCGGGTACGGTACGAGTATTCTTCACTTGTATATTTTTAGTTACTCGGTACTCAGGCCAAGATACTATCTGAATCGCGTACTTGTACTCGTACTTGGACTGCTTAAGAATATAGAAAATAGGTACCGGTACTTTTTATTGTACTGAGTAATTTTCAAAATGCGTTTTTCACTTAAATACATTTGTTATACCCGGGTATTTTCATTGTTTTCGAATACATTTGCAGTTGGTGAGTAAAATTATTGGACTCTAAGTAAATACATATTTATTTGGCCACAAGTACATTTCCAGACAAGTTGAGATCTGACATTAGGTCTGTTCCAACACGTCAAAAACTGTCCCATGAACGGTTTCAAAACCACTCAGTGAATTTTGAACTTTTCTGTGCACTGTGACATTGTGTCTGTGGCCATGAATTTAGGATTTTGGAAAACTTTGAAAGGTCATAACTTTTTTTTCTATTATAGATAGAAAGCTGAAATTTACACTGAATTTTATCTCAATAAAAAGAGGTTATTTGAGACTCCGAACCCAAGGGCTTCATTTTGGAGAAAATCAGCTTTGAATCTTTTGTGAAATTTGAGACAAAGATTTGAATTTGAGCCTCAATATCTCTGGAAGTATTTAAGATAGAAAATTGAATCTTATTCTATCTTAAAGATAATTTAATTCTGATTCAGAATATATAATTTTATATCATATTTGTTGCAATAATAACCGAGTAATGAGTGATTTTGTGAAACAATGTCAGATTATTGAAATTTTCTGGGCCCAAAATGTGGAAAAACTGTCTTTATTTTCTTACAAGCCCTAAAACTAAAAAAACAAAGTTGCGTAAATGCTTTTCCACTAATTTTCACCTCCTCTTTCGATTAGTAAAGTCAAAAATTGCAAAATCCAAAAATTTAAAAATTCAAATTTTTTCAAAGTGGTATGTATGCATGGGAATTTGATTTTCAAATAATTCAAAGGGCCATATTTTGGAAACCAGTGAAGCTATCGGCATAAATTTTTTGCTCAATTGTAGCTCTTCAGAAGGGGTATAAAAAAGGTTATTTGAGACTCCGAAACCAAGAGCTTCGTTTTCGAGAAAATCGGCTTTGAATCTTTCATGAGATTTGAAGCAAAGTTTTGACTTTGAGCCTCAATATCTCCAGAAGTATTTAATATAGAGAATTGAATCTTCTTCTATCTTAAAGATAATTTAATTCTGATTCAAAATATATAATTATATATCATAATATGTGCAGTTATAACGAAGTAATGAGCGATTTTGTAAAACAATGTCAGATTATTGAAATTTTCTGGGCCCAAAATGTGGAAAAACGGTATTTATTTTCTTACAAGCCCTAAAACTAAAAAAACAAAGTTGCGTAAATCCTTTCCCACTAATTTTCACCTCCTCTTTTGATTGGTAAAGTCAAAAATTGCAAAATCCAAAAATTTAAAAATTCAAATTTTTCCAAAGGGGTATGCATGGGAATTTGATTTTCAAATATTTCAAAGGGCCATATTTTGGAAACCAGTGAAGCTATCGGCCTAAGTCTTTTGCTCAATTGTAGCTCTTCAGAAGGGCTATAAAAAAGCTTATTTGAGACTCCGAGCTCAAGGGCTTTGTTTTCAAGAAAATCAGCTTTGAATATTTTGTGAAATTTGAGACAAAGTTTTGACTTTGAGCCTCAATATCTCTAGAAGTATTTAAGATAGAGAATTGAATCTTATTCTATCTTAAAGATAATTTAATTCTGATTCAGAATATATAATTATAAATTATAATTTGTGCATTTATAACCGAGTCCTTATAAACTCTGGACTCTGAATAACCAAATCAAACTTCAAAATTGCTGAATTCATTTAGTAAACCAAGCTGTGTTATTTAATTTTTGATGTGTGAACATCTATACCGGCGGTTTGATGGTAAATTTCGGGAAATGTGACGGAAGTGTGAAAGGGGAGGTGACGTCATAACCCATGTGCAATGCTAAGTTCGCAGCTACCTCTGCGCTTGCAGCCTATGAGGATTCATTAGATTTCCATGATAGATCAAGGCGGTTTAAAAGAGGACGTTGGGTAATAACTTGCACCTGTGACATCATTGGGTAGGAATGCAAGGTGGTATTAGAATGTATTCATAAATATACACTTTGAATACTTGTAATTGTACTCTGTACTCGAGAACATTCTAAGCTAAATACTTGTACCCGGTAGCCGAGTACATTTTGCTTGTAGGTACTCGAAGCAGCTCTGACTATGCTACGCCTGGTCGTCTATACAATGTCTGATCTAAAATTGAAACCCTTTCCAGCATAGACCATGAGCGGCCATTACTGCTCTAAACCCTCCCCCATGTGAAAGCTATAGATAGCTACGTCATTGCGTTACCTACATAACTAAGTTATAAACACTCATGACATAACTGCAGATTACACAAAAATTTGAAGAAAAGACACAAAAGATACATAAAAGCCCATAAGATATAAGATTTGTACGATATTGTTTCAAATTTTTGATTAAATGTACAGGAACATGAATTTTTCCTTAAATAGTCCAGTAAATTACTTTCTTGTACAATTAATTCAAAAACCTCCTCCAAAGTAATGAAATCATTTCCAACTCTAACTATAACTTGAAGCATCTTCGCAATTAGTACAACCGTCAATATTATTTAAACTTCCATTGTGGTTAACTACTTTGGAAAACTTTTCGGTAAACTTCTTATTCATTTTACTTTCGAGTTCTTTGGCTGGCGGGGCAATTTTTTTCTAAAGAAATTCGTTTTCTAGCAATGCAATGTGGTGACGAACGACAGCACATGTTCAACGACGCTTGTTACCTGGTCGTCAATTATCCAGAAGTGACGTGGCCTACAGCGCAGCAAATTTGTCGAGGCATGAAGGCCTTGCTCGCCTCGATTGTCACCCCCCGAAGAGGGACGATTTATCACCACCATCATAAGAAAGAATGCCGAATATAGAACGAGCGCCCTTTATTGGTTAGTAGGTTTGTGTAGTAAATTTGGGTTTTATATTATTTTTTTGCGATGGCCTAGGTTAGGAGGAAAAGCAGATCCTTTGTCGGACTTTAAATGGATCGATGGTAGTTCTATGGAGTTTCGAGGGTGGTTGCCAGAAGGGCCTTCCGAAAATGACTTAGAACACGAGCCTAGGTGCATAGGTGTTCAGTGGACACCTTCCCCTTTACCTTTGCTACCTAGTGGGATTTATTGGAAAGCTCACAGGTTTATAACTGAATTATATCATGAATTACTATTGTGAGCAAAAGAGAATTGTTTTTAGATGTAGTCAAGTGGGTGGATATGTTTGCAAAAGGAAACGTCATCTTTACGACTCTGGAAACAATATCAATAAAACTATTAATAGCTCTAAAGGCAGTTTAACTACGCCGCATTATCCAGAAAACTATTACAACAATTTGGATTTTTTAGTGAAAATTATTGGACCGGAGCGGACAAGGTTAAAAATAAGGCAAGTTTTATTCAAACTTCGTGTAAACTGAATAACGATTTGTGTACAGATTTTCCAGGATCGACATCGAATTACAGCCGGAATGTTTATACGATTATGTCGAACTGAAATCCGTGCCAAAGGGTAACAAGATCGAAGAGGAGGAAGGTGTCAGATTATGCGGAAGCCACGGGACTCAAATGGAACGATTTGATTTTGTTTCACGGACCAACGAAGCGGAAGTCAGGTTCCATTCGGATTATTCAGTCACTGCCAGTGGGTAAGAATTTTCAATATGAATAAGAAATTAACTTGAAAAGGTCAATTTTTGTCTATGCCTGGCTCTTAAATTCAAGAGTTTGTAATAGAGACCCTTATTCTTAATTCTTAACTCTCATCAAGACAAAAAGATATAATATTTTCCAGAGAAGACTCAATGAAAATACCCAGATAGCGCACAAAGTCTTAAAGGCATTTTTTTAGGCCTGTGTCTAGACACAGACGTTATGTTTTGAAGACGTTCATAAGATGTAAATTTACATCTATTTGGTACAAACCATAGGCCTTAAAGTGAATATTGGTTTATGTATTGAAAATAGATTCAAAAACGTCTCGTTGAAGACGTTTTTAAAATGTCTTAGCCGTCGAATCGTCTTTAGACATCAGACATCTGACAGTGGTTGGGTTTTGTAACATACGACGTCTTCAAGATATCTTTGAGACGCCTTAAAGACCCACAAAATTCGTTTCTCCATCAATTTAGAAAATTACTGAAAAACTTCTAGAATGCTCTAGAACCTTCCAAGCCAAGTTAGAACACTTTAGAACTTCAATGAGCCATTTAGAACGTTCCAAACAGTGTTGCCAGGTCATATTTTGTTTTGTCATACTCATTACATTACCAGTCTAAATTATTCTATGGTCTAAATATCAGTAGAAATTAGTAGCCTTGCCTTGTTAAAGGGGTAAACCATTAAAGAATACTCAATTAATTATTTTAACTACGTTTTTTCAAATCATTAAATCATTAGATGTGTATTAGACTATGAAAACTTGCATTAGAAAATCAAACCCCGATACTACTTATGACAAATAGTTTATTATGATTAAGACACATGAGATATTCCTATTAAATATCCACTACCTATGGGATGTCTCATATTTGGTTCTATATTCTTGGAGAGTACAATTTCCCGATTCCAGAACTATATAGTTTGTCTATATTTGGTTGAGCCGGCTTCAAACTATTTGGTTCTTAAAATTTTAAAAATACTGTCAGAGAAATCAAGTACCATCGTCACCAAAAGTATCTGGGACACAAATCTAGCATAATAATCTCCTGGACTAATTCTACTGTCATTCAATTCAATGCATTTAATTTATAGTTTGACAAATATTTGACAATAAAATTCATATAATAGTACAAGAGCTAATGTGATGCTGTCCCAGTTACTTTTGGTGACGATGGTACCTCAAATTTTACCTGCAGCTTTCACTTATACAGGTATAATGGTTCATAAAATCAGTAGTAGAAGATATTATTTTTACAATTTCTGAAGCCGAAAATATAAGAGACTGTTCAATCAAATATAGACAAACTATATATTTTTGGAATTGGAGCATTGTACTCTTCAAGAATATAGAATGAAATATATGGCATCCCATTTGAAAAAAGTTGGAAACATGCAAAATTTCACATTTCTGACATTCAAATTTTGTTTCTGGTCATGGTTTCTAAAAATTCAGCCAAAAAAAATTTGTCACAATATGCTACTAGTTTGGTAAAGTAACATCACTAATTCCTCTTGAAAGGCAAATTGACAAAAAGTGAATAATCTTACAAATTCTAACTTTATATAAGTTATTGTTCAAGTACAAATAAGTGGATTGTTTCGGAACTTATGGGTAGACCTCTGCGAGACGAGCGCAGCGAGTTCCGCAGCCATCTACTCACCAATATACTGTATTGAACTGTTCAAATAAGAAACTCACCTGAAACGTGTACCTACTGATAGATGGCTGAGGTCCACCCATAAGTTCCACAACAATCCACTCGTTTGTACTTGAATAACTTGTCACAATATATTGCTAGTTTGGTAAAGTAACATTACTAATTCCTATTGAAAGGCGAATTGACAAAAAGTGGATAATCTTACAAATTTTGGCTTTATATAATAAGTTATTGTTCAAGTACCTACAGAGTGTTTTTTTATATATCGACACCCCACCTACAGCCTTCTTGCTCTTACTAGCGCTATCTCATTCTGGAATCAATTGAATAACGCAAAGCCCATTCCAAACCTTCTTTCTATTTTATTGGTACTTATATGCAGTAGTCTAGTTTTATAAAAACAGGTAAAACAGGCTGCAGTTAGTTGTACAGCATAACGCTATGTGACCAATTGACTAACCAACAACAACACAACTGGCAAGACAAAAGGCAAATAAACAAGACAACAAGACACAATATAAACACGCAGGAACGCCGGGGATTCCCCAGTTAGGTTGAATGCAGTGCCTACACTGCGAGCGTTTGATTGTTTCAATATAAATCACACCGGACTGATCGGAGTAATCGGGCAGACGTCGTTCAGAGGACACTCCTCGTTCCTACTATGGGAAGACCAAAGGGGGCTACGGGCTGAAAAAACGTACAGGGTAGCACTCTTTGTCTCACACTTCTTCTGACTTCGTATTCCATTGGGATCTGCTTTCTGCCTAGTGTTAAATTCACGCATGCGCCATACGGCGCTGATCCGAGTCGCTGACGCCGGTAAGTGTTGGACCGTATAACCGTGATCCCAGAGCTTCTTACCTTGCACCGTTATTTCTGCTGCCGCGTCATACCAAACCGCACCGTAACACTCCGTCTCTCTCTTATACTCGTTCACACACTCTCTCTCTCTCTGTATCCATCCGTATCTTAATTAGGTTTTCTTGCATTTCCTTATTGTATTATAAATAATTGGGTGAACAATAAAAACTACTTTCTTGGTTGGAATGTGTGTTTCGTTTTGGGGAAAATGCGCATAGACCTCTGGTTTTTCCGTCTCCACTGCTTAAAAGCTACCCAGTGGGCCCTTAACCACTATAATCCTGAGGATGACGTCCGAGTTTTCCGAAAACCCCGAACTGACCGCTTTCTTACCGGAAAACCAAAGGTGCGCTACAAAGTCCTAGCCCCAGTGGCGGATTTACGATTTATGGGGCCCTACCCTACATAATTTTTGGAGCCCCTACCCCCTACCCCCTACTTAGTAAAACAAATATTTTCATTTTAGAATTTATTGATAAATTAAAACAAAATCGAAACGAAGTTCTTAAAGTACAACCGAAAAAATTCATAACAGTAAAAAAACTAAAAACTAAGTAATAGGTAGTAGGAATATAAGTGACATCGAGTACTATAGTGGTATTTCCATCTTATCTGCTATCCCTAAACTCCTCGAATCTATTCTAACTGACGAGATATTCCCGACTTACAACAGATACTTTAACTCTGCCCAGTGTCCAGCATAACTTATACCGACGTCGTTCTATCACAACCAACCTTGCAGTCTACCAGAACTTTTTGGTCACCTCAGTTGAACAGGGACATCAAGTTGATTCTATTTATACCGACTTATTCATGGCCTTTGATAGCGTTCACCATCAGCTCCTCCTCAAGTAAATGTCAGAAATTGGGATAATTGGAAACTATCTCAGCTGAATTCAATATTACTTTGGTGATCGCCGGCAGCGAGTTGATGTCGCTGGTACACTCTCCAGTGAAGTAATGGTTACCTCTGTCTGGTGTCCCTCAAGGATTTCACCTGGGACCTGTCCGGTTTCTCTCTTCATCAATGACGTAACGTCCTGCTTTTCCTCTTCTCATGTCTTGTTGTACGCTGATGATCTGAATTTTTACATTAAGGTATCTGTGCACCATAACCGATTGCAGGATGACCTTGACAAGTTTGTATCTTGATGTTCCCTCAATCACCTAAAGATTATTTTTCCAAAATGCAAATGCAATCCATCAGTTTCTATAAGTGTGAAAATCCAATTGTTCGTAACTACACCATAAACAATCAACTCATTACCTCAGTCGACTCATTCAATGATTTGGGAGTGGTTTTCCAGAAAGACCTCAGTTTCAATTTGCATGTTGAAAACATTGTAATTAAGGGCCTTAAAATGCTGGGTTTTATAAAAAGGGGAATTCTAAATATATAAATGGATACCAAAGCAGTATGGTGTCTGTATTACTCACTTGTCCGTAGCACACTAGAATAGCTCAACTATTTGGACCTTCAAATACACTATCCACAAAAGCAGACTAGAAAGGGTTCAAAATAAGTTCACAAAGTACCTTCTATATAGGTACCATTTTCCTTCAGACAGACTAACCTATGAAACTAGGCTGATGCTTTGTGGACTAAAAAGTCTTGAACACCGAAAAATAGAAGCTATGTTTATTCTGCTTTACAAGTTGTGCAATGAGATAATCGACTGTGACACCTTTGCTAGGCTTACTGAAGGACAACATCGTACCAACCCAGCAAAAACGCTGTCGTCATAATGACGTAACTAATTGGATTTCATTTACGTCATTGGGACGGAAAAGATGACCTCATTTTGACGAAAAAATGGCGGGTTAATGTCACAGCCCCATGACGTCATTATGTTACGACAAAATGCCGTCTTTCTGTGACGTGATTTAGTAGGGACTTATGACGAATATATGACGTAATCTGTGACCGTAAAATCACGAAACTAATAATTTTCCATTTGTTTTAAATTTAAAAACGTCGATAATAAACTATAGAACTAAACAGGATGTTAGCCTGTGCGCCATGCAAACGTGTTTTCTCGGTGACAGCCAATTTTTATTCACTACACAAATAACTACTTTCACACACAAATTGCACCCCAGAAAATGCCATTTTTGACACTACCACAAAGCTATAATCAGTCTTCACAATACACTTAAATATAAAGTAGGTATAGAGGTACCAGGTAGGTAATTGAAAAAGAAATTATTATTTGAGTTTCGGTTTCCCGTCTACTTCTGCCAACGGCACGGCGCCAATAGACCTTTTCAAAGTAGAATAATTCTGTTGCGCATGCGCAAAACATTGTTGCCAAGTGTCGGTTTCTATCACGCTATACAGGAAAGAATCATGAATAATTTCGATTTCATTAGAACTGAGATTCAAATTCTTTATTATTAATTAACCTTATATTTGATGCAGTCAAAGACTCAAGCTATTTATTGAAAAGATATATTGATGGTCATTT